AGTGAGATGTGAAACATTGGATGAAGCTTTGAGGTTGCAGGGAGGTCCAACCGATAAGCAACAAGGCCCACTCTCTCCAGAACCTTATAAGGCCCATAATACCTGGGTGCTAGCTTGTGCTAAGCTCGTCTTACTACCGAGATCTGGCGGTAAGGTTGGAGCTTAAGGTAAACGAAGTCACCCACCTGAAATTCTAATGGGTGGTGGTGAGTGTCATAGCGGGCCTTCATTCGTTGTTGGGCTTTTGTCAAGTTGAACTTAAGCAATCTAAGAATCTCGTCTCTCGCAAGTAGACGGGTCTCTACTTCTGCCACCTTGGATGACCCATATTCATAAGGTAATATGGGAGGAGGTTCTCTGCCATATAGAGCTTTGAAGGGTGTCATTCCGGCAACCGACTGATAAGTCGAATTGTACCAGTATTCTGCCCACGGAAGCCAGTGAGCCCACTGTCGAGGCTTTTCCCCTATGAAACATCTAAGGTAGGCTTCCAAGGAACGATTAAGAACTTCAGTCTGCCCATCAGTCTGCGGGTGATAACTCATGGAGGGGTGCAGTTGGGTTCCTTGCAACCGAAAATATTCCTTCCAGAATGAACTCAAGAAAGCAGGGTCCCGATATAAGACAATGGATCTTGGGGTTCCATGCAGCTTGGCGACATCCCAGATGAAGATGTCAGCCACCATTGCTACGGTGTAAGGGTGAGGTAATGCAGAGAAATGGTTGTACTTGGTGAGACGGTCAACCACTACCATGATAACCTCCTTTCCTGCAGAACGAGGAAGACCCGTGATGAAGTCCATGGAAAGGTCTTCCCACACTTGATCTAGAATCTTGAGAGGTTGTAGAAGGCCAGCGGGAGACTGTGACGAGTATTTCTGTTGTTGGCAGGTTTGGCATTCGGATACATATTGTAATGCATCCTTACGCATTCCTACCCAATGATAGTGGCTGCTGAGCCTCTTTAGGGTCCGTAGCACCCCTGAGTGCCCTCCCAAGGCGGAGTCATGAAACAACCTTAGCAGTTCAGCTTTGTGAGCCGAATTCTGGGCAACAACAAATCGACCCCTAAAGAAAAGATCAGGCCCCACAACTTGGTAACCAGCAACTTGTGAAGGGTCTCGCCTCCACTTATCTTTAATGACCTGCAACTGCGGATCAGACCTGGCTTCTTGCCATATAGCTTCAAACAAAGGGAAGTTGGGCTGAGAGCAGGTTAGATGGGCTAACTCTTCTACTCGTGACAAGGCATCAGCTACTCTGTTTGCGGGCCCCGGCTTATATTCTATGAGGTAGTCAAAGCCCATCAGTTTACTAAGCCATTTTTGCTCCTTCGGGGTGTGCACCCTTTGCCCTGCTATGTACTTCAAACTTTGTTGGTCTGTCCTAATAACAAATTGGCGTCCCAATAGGTATGCACGCCACTTTTGCACTGCCATTACCACAGCCATCATTTATTTGACATAAGTGGACTGACTTTGGTGAGCTACTGAGAGAGCCTTGCTGAAATAAGCAATAGGCTACCCTTTCTGCATCAAGACGGCCCCTACTCCTACACCCGACACATCACATTCTATCTCAAAGGGCTGAGAGAAGTCTAGAAGAGTGAGGACTGGAGGGCTAGAAATTGTTGTATTCAAGTCTTCAAAAGCCCGTTGGGCTTTATCAGTCCAACTGAAGAAATCCTTCTTTAATAGACGCGTTAGAGGGGTGGCCATAAGCCCATACCCCTTAATGAAGCGCGCCTATAATATCCGGTAAGCCCAAGAAAGCCCCACAGAGCCTTTACAATAGTGGGCTTGGGCCACTTCTGGATGGCGTCTACCTTTTCTGGGTCTGCCATGACCCGACCTGCTGCAACCACATGGCCTAAGTACTGAATTTGTCCTTGTCCAAAGGAACACTTTGTCATTTTGGCATGTAACTGGTGCCCCTTTAGAGTTGTGAGGGTGAGTTTCAGATGTTCCATATGTGTCCCAATCCCTGCTGTACACCAGAATATTATCAAAAAACACCAGAATAAATCGCCTTAGAAATGGCCTGAAGATGTCATTCATGAGGGCCTGAAAGGTGGAGGGGGCGTTGGTGAGTCCAAAAGGCATAACCAAAAACTCATAATGGCCATCGTGGGTCCTAAAGGCCATCTTGTGGATGTTAGCCTGGTGGACCCGAATCTGATGATACTCGGACCGCAGGTCTAATATGGAGAACACTCGTGCCTCTCCTAACTCATTCAGTAGTTCGTCAATGAGTATAGGAAACTTGTCCTTTACAGTAATCTGATTCAAGGCCCAGTAATCTACGCAAAAGCGCCAACTACCATCCTTCTTCTTTACTAAGAGTACAGGAGATGAAAAAGGGCTGGTGTTGGTCTGTATATGCCCTTTTTCCAATAGTTCTCTCACTGCCTTCTCAATTTCCAGCTTCTGAAAGTAAGGGTATCTATATGGCCTCACATTTGCCGGATTAGAACCGGGTAAGAGAGGTATCTGATGATCACGAGCCCGGGGTGGAGGTAATTGGTTCGGCTCCTTGAATACATCGCCAAACTAATCGAGTATCGATCGCAAGGACTTGTGTTGGGCTTCTGTGGGGTGAACACAGCCCTGGTTGTCCAGAATTGGGACTGTGGGCCGAATGCCCAAATGCATAAATATGGGTTGGCCAGCATCCTTGGAGGCCCGTATCATGGAGGCTAAAGTGTAACTTTGTGGACTAGGGGGCCGCACCCCTTGTAAATGACAAGACTGACCATCCTGGTGAAAATCCATTGTCATTTTGGCCCAATCACATAGAGCAGGGCCCAGGCCACGCAACCAATGAACCCCCAAAATAATATCAACCCCTAAGAAATCCAATGGGTGGAGATCCACCACAAAATTATGGCCCTGTATGAGGATTTTTCCCTTCTTACATACACCATTGCACGACATCTAACTCCCATTAGCCACATGGATTGAAAAGAGAGTGGGTTGTATGGTCATACCTAGCTGCTTAGCCAAACGGCAAGTGATGAAATTCAAGGTAGAGCCACTGTCAATCAAAATCATCACGGTCCGGCCCACCAATCTTCCTTCTACACACATGGATTGAAGAGAGTTGAGGCCCATGAGGGCGTGTAAGGAGATCTCGGCCCCGTCAGGTTCTGGTCCGTCTGGAATCAGTTCACAGTCATTTAAGTGCTCTAGGTCTGTCTCTTCTGGCTCTTCCTTTGTTTGTAGGAGAAACACCCGCTGGACCCGGCATTTATGGCCCGATCCAAACTTATCATCACAGTTATAACAAAGGCCTTTCTCGCGCCGGGCTTGCATCTCAGCCCATGATAGACGTTTGAAGGGCATAGTGGGACGGGGCAATATGGGCTTCTGATGATCCCCAGTCGGTTTCATGGGTTGTTGATCGACCCGTGGAGGAGTCCTCAAATTCGGGTAGGTCGGTTTGCTAGCTCTACGAAGGTTGTCGATTCTTTCTTCTTGCAGGCGAGCCAATCCCACCGTAGCCATGACAGTCGCCGGACAGAGAGCCCTCACCTCCAGACGAATATCCTCTCTGAGACTTCCCACAAAACATCCTACTAAGGCTTTCTCCGGCCAGCGGTGTACCCTGGTCGCCATCCGCTCGAACTCGAGCTGGTACTCTGCTACCGTTCCAGTCTGCTTCAACCGGGTGATTAGCTCGTCGTAGTCCACGAACGTCGTCGGCCCAAAGCAGATGCACAAAGCTTCGGTGAACTCCGCCCAAGTTACCTGGGGATGATTCTGGCGATACCACTAGAGCCATAGAATCGCGTCTCCTTCTAGATGAATGGAGGCGATGGAAACACGCTGGTGGGCGTGAGTTTCGTGGTATTCGAAATATCTTTCTGCTCGGAAGATCCAAGGAATGGAATCTCCACCGGAATAGTTGGGAAAGTTGATCTTAGTGACTTTTCCGGTGGGGTAATACCCTGTTCTTTGGCTACTGGAAGCAAAGGCTTCCGCTCCTGCTAGGTGACTGGTCTCGCCGAACTGTTGCTGAGAGACGAAGCTGGAGACGACCACTTTGAGTTCCTTGAGTTCATTCAACACCTGGTGAAATCCAACCTCAAGTTGGTCGACCCTTTCATCCATGGTAGTGGAACGTGTTTGTAGCATCGTGAAGCCTAGGATTTGGATAGCCTGACTCTGATACCAATCTGATGAGTTACCGCTCACCTCGGAAGCCCCTTCGAGGGTGGCTTAACCTCCTGAAACAGAAGATGGGAGGGAAAGGGGAAAGGTAAGAAGAAAATGGTTCAGAGAGAGATGAAAGGGATATTCATTCACGCCACTTATTACATGATCAGGGCCTTATATAGCTGGCCTACATGTATGCAATCATGGAGAGAATATCTTCTAGTGGCAGTGTAACTAACTCTGGGAGGCTCTGCCGCGTGTCACACTAGCCTCTCTATCTTCTAGTGAAATGTTGCTCAGTGGTGGCCTGCTCCACTCCTATAGTTGGGTTCGGAGGGAGTGTTTGGGTCCCAACAGGCTGCTTCATGCAAAGAAAAAAAAAATGTCAGGGTTAGGTGAGCATCCAGTTTACCCTCCTCCTAAGACCTTAGAAAACCGGGAGCAGCATTGGGTTATGGTTCTTTAAATTGAACAATTCCAATAATTTCTCAGGAGACAAGGATACTTTTTCCATGAAATATTGTGGGAAAGCGGGTTGACCACTATGATCAAAGAAGTCAACATGACTAATGAGCAAGTAGCCCTCGACGGAGCCCAGAAGAAAGAAAATAAAATCATGTACCTTGCCAAATTCTTGATGTAAGGATTGCCTGACCACTGCAGTTTGTTGTACCAGCCTTTCCATTGCCGAATAGCTAGGCTGGTTAGCATATGCTGAATTAATCATCAGTTAAATCAAAGAAATCAGTTCAGATGTTCAAGAGAAGACAATAAACGGAGAATGGTAGTAAATGTATCAGGAGATAATGGAAATTCAAAATGTAGAAAAAAATGCTAAAAAGAGAAAAAAAAAACATATAAAAAATCTGGAAATTGTACAAAATAAGGAAGCAGAATCGCTAAGCACAAGCAAGGCTCAACATAAACACACCAAGAATTGCTCGATTTAGACTATCTGCAACTTGCTGTCTGTACTCCATGCTTAACAGATGAAACATTGGGGATTTCTCTGGCTCCTCATAAGCTAGCAAGGCCATAAAATCCTGCACAAATGGGAAACTTGCTTTTAGCATAAAAAACAAAATTCACATCTGATCATACAAACAAAAAGCAGCAGTGCTTCAATGTACATGCTTATTCAACTTTTCTTTGGGAAACACAGAATGGAATTGCTTAAGGTGGTTTATTTGTCAGAAGATACATACTTCCAGCTTCTCAACATATTTGTGAACCTTCCCAAATGGTGTCAACTTGGTCTGAGCAAACTCCAGAGCTTCTGTGCTGTCAAGAGAATATTAAGTTCAGTTTCAAGTGAATCCTTACTTTTGTACAAAAGGCAGTTTCAGTGTCTGCTCACCATTTCCTAGAGCAAACAAGTTCAACAAAATGAAGGCTCAAGAGATCAAAATGCAAGTCCTTGTTTTGCTCAAGTAGGTCATGTGCCAGCTGTTCTGTCAGTTCTATGGCCTTGAGAGCATTTCCCTCCAATGCAAAATGGAAAATTGCTAATATATAAAGTAAGAAAAATAAGAACCAGCACCACAATTAGTAATTCATTCCAAATTCATTTTGTATCAGTAACTGTTAAATGTTATTCAAACAGAAGCAGGTATATGCAACAAGGCTTTACATCTTCTTTGATAGATGGCCTCAGCTAGCCATCTTACAACCCTTGTACATGAAGGATCACTCGGCATTGATCAACCAGTCCCCAATACAAATTCCTCCACTTTACCTCTTGTTGAGCTAGTTCATTCCAAATTCATTCAAATAAAAACTAAATCTAGATCCATAAAGTAGAAATTACTCACTTAACTTGATATAATGGATGCAATGGTTTAGAAACATTCTTTTTATCTTTTGGAAAACTGATGTAGTGCTCAGAATCAAGCCCAGGTTATCAACACAACCTTGTAAACTGCTTGAATTCCAGTTGTATATTGGACTTAACAAGGTAAACGTGCCCAAATAGAATTTTCAACCTTGTCTATACAAAAGACATGGTCATCACAACATGACCTGAGGTACATGTTCCAATGTATATTTTTTACATTACATGTTACTAGGGAAAGTTCTTCTTTATGCATGTTGTATGTAACTATGTATAGAATAAGATATACAGAACCACAGTAACCACTATGAGCTTACAACCATATCACCACATTGGAATTTCAAATTGCGTTTAAACCCTCTTATCTATATCAGAGGAAAATATTACCCACATTAGGGTCAAGTTGTGATTATTTGGAGGCACCTCTTCTGTCATCCTTGAGGGCTTGAGGCCGTTGATCCCATTATAACTGTCAAAAGGGAAAAATAACTGCCACTTACGTTTTCTTTTGTCTATATCCACAGGATAATCATCAGGTTGCTTCATCCCAGTGCAAGCAATGAATGATTCAGCGGTCTCTTTAAAGCAGTTGTGTACAAGATATGATAGGACAATGTTGCGAACATCATTGTCATTGATAGCCTACCAACAACAAAAAAAAGACAATATTCCCTCAATTCTGTGGAGAAAGAAAGCTGGGGGAGTAAAATAAATAACATGCACCAGTGGAAGATTCTATCTCAGTGACCCTCTTTTTTTCTTCTTTTTTTCATGGGGGGCGAGACAGTGAAAGGGGTACCAAGGAAAGTGGCAGGAAAAAATGATAGAGAACTCTTTATTTCTATTGAGAAAACTGAGTATGTATCAATACACCAATTAGCTACAGGTATAACTGGTATTTATTGCTAAAGGTCTGCACTCTGCAGTGGTTTTATATGAAACATTGCAGTATAAGATGAAACATTTCACTTCTCTAAAGCATAACGTATAGCCTTTGTATGCATGTTTTTTAATAAATAAGTAAAAATGTACGATACATTAAATACATTTTTGTGTGCTTTCATCTGTTTTTCTTGTACCATTGGGCCAACTAGGGTAAACTGACATACATCCTGGTTAGAAGACTTAAAATTAAGCAATAATAGAATATTTCAACATTTTCTTTGTCAATTATTTTTTCTTAAAAGCCAACAAGCATGTTCATAAGGCTCAAACATTGACTTGAAGCATTAAAAGGAATTAAGGGCCAAAATCAGATCATATTTGATAATCTGATCAATAAGTTTCAGCTCTTGAAAAAAGAAAGAGTAAATCACTCATGATTCATGCACTTAGTCATGCTTCAAAAGTAGGTCATACTCATTATTGCACCTTGGATTTCACAATACTTCAGCTTAAAGTTTATGACTGGAATGCCCCAAATAATATTGGGCTAAACTTGATTAAGATTTTGAAAATCATATACTGATAAAAATATTTTAGAAATTATACTTAATGGATGATGATACTTTTGGCTCACAGGTTACATTGATTATCAAAAACATAGTAACCTAGGGGCTTCTTTTGAGGAAACAAGGATAACAAATTTGTAGATAAGTAGGGTTAATCATCACAACTTTGTACACCTAGAAATTAGGCTCCTATGAAATGAAAGGCCAATCCCACAGATAAACAACATTATGTTCTTTGGTTTACATGATATGGAGGGGAGATGCTGAAGGAAAAGAGTCCTGAACAGAATGATAAAATTGGGGTGAGGCGACAGTTATCCACACACATTCTAGAACCTCCTAGCATGGATCTCTGGATTGCACATTCAGTTTTATGCCTCATTGTGCATTGGAATCCTCTCCTAGAAATGCTTGGTGTCCAAATTTCAAATTTTATCCACATGTTGATTATCTTTTTATTATTTTCTTTTCTTTGTGTGTGTGTGTGTATTGAGAGCGGGGATGCCCAGTTGACATGAAATAAATGGTGAGCATATCACGGGACACTCTAATTGAAGGCTAGTAAATGGATGACCATCATACCATCATGTCAAGAACAACATGCAACACTCATCCCTCAAGAGCATAAGCTACCATGTGCAGCGGCTGCCATGGCCAGCCATTATTTATGAAATTACTCATAAAACATAAAATTTTCTTTCCAACCATTATTTTCCCCTGAGAAAATGGCAATATATAAGTGGCTGCCATGGCCAGTAGTCAACCATAAAGCATGAATCTCCTTTTCAACCACTTTTCTTCCAACAAAATGGCAATCGAATTTAGTATATGTATCTGTGTCACCAAGAATTGAGCTAGAGGAGATTTGAAATTCATCCTTATCTCGTAATAAAATTTTCATTGGAGGAGGACCCCCATGCCCAAGTCTTAAAAGCAAAGCTTCTGCCAGATTATAGTCATCTTTCTTTAGTCCTTGACCCATGCACTGCAGATTGTTGTTTGTTCTTTGCAAACTTACCTCAACTAAATTAACTAATATCCTAACTCTTAAACTAAATCCTTTCGGTCTTTGTAACAGAGGAAATGGGGAACTGGAACCTTTTATTTCTATATATACAAGAACCATGTAAACCCAATGGCCAGTTCACATTTCAGACTCTTTTAAATTCCACTAAAGCCAAACTCGCATCCTAGAGGCTTGGACCCCAATAACCATACTGAGTCATCTGTTGAAACTTCTAAATTTCATTACGCCCAAATTCACCTTCTACAGACTTGGACACCAATGACCATACTGAGACTACGTTCGCTCTAAAAATGTTAGCTTGGGTTCACCATTTATAAGAACCCAGTTGAACGAATCCCCAAAAAGATTAAAAACCCTAATTAAAGCATTTTGTATTAAAAAAAAAAAACACCCTCTCATTATTTAACAACTCAACCACAATTTCTTCAATTATAAACATCTCAACACAACAAGTTCTAATCCTTGAACCATGCCGCTCTAAGATGATAAGATCCCCCTACTCATACAATTTTTAACTACATTAACTTCTCCACACTGTTAATCATTTCAAAAGAAGGTAGAGAAGAAGAATTTAAGTTCCAAATGCAAACGACGGTTTCGATGATTAAACTTGAGCAGCTGAAATTAAGAGAAACCAATTCGATTGTAATCAATCAAAGATCAAATGGTTTACAAGACCTAAATGTGTTCCCAACGCAATTCGAGACCTTTTCTTTTTTTTTGTTGGGAAACAAACGAGTAAGGTCAAGTATTTATAATGGACTTTTCCGAGAAAACCCCAAAGGATTGAAAAGAAAAGAAAACTTACAACGTGCTCGTACTGCCGAGGATCTAAGTCCATCATCGACCTAAAAATCTCAGAATTTCAAGGTTTGAGAATGCGAGACCTTCCTCTCTTTTCCCTTTCAGAAGAGACCAGAAGGTCCGTCTCTTTTTCTCCCTTGCACGCTCGCACAGACTCTGATCTATACAAAAGGGTCTGGTAACTCTGCTCCTGTCTGCAAAATTCGAAGTCAAAACGACAAGAGAAGAACGTAAGTGGGGTCGAGATCGTAAGACGATGAAGAGTGTTACAGCATCAATGGGCAATGGATGATTTTTTTATTTTTGGTAATAAATGGGCAATGGATGATGGGTTTTGACGTATTGTTGGATTAGACAACCTAGGGTTCTCATAGATCACTTGACGAGAGCGCTCCCATCAATTCATCACTCTCGTCGAGTCCGGATCAGCCCTTGACAAAGTGCGCCGCACACTGACCTCACAGCTTGTCTGACCGTACATCGAAAACATTTTTCATACTTGTATTTATTATTTATGGTAAGATGTTCCGAATCCAAGGTGGAATGCGACTGTGAGGTTGATATAAAGGGCGCTTGGAGAGGAGCAGATCCCAATTCACTCTCGTCGCTCTGTCTCCTTCCCAGTTCTTCTCATCCATATAGGATGCCAAAATAAACAAGGAATCTCGCCAAGTGGCCAGATTCACTCTCGTCGCTCTGTCTCCTTCCTAGTCCTTCTCATCCATATAGGATGCCAAAATAAACAAGGAATCTCGCCAAGTGGCCAGTTTCTATTGGTTTCCCCTTGGTCCTGTCCATGTGCTAATACCGCGTCAACATCATTCTCCATCTTTCAAGCAACCATTCCAGATAACCGATGAAAAAACTGCAAACGGCTGGACTTCATTTCTAAGAGTGTATGTGTGTGTTTGGACTGAAAGTACAGCTATTGAGTCCCTTATGCTACATGCTATATTTGGTTTGAAGGAATCAAGGAAAAAGTAGCGAAAGGAAAGCAAGGGAAGATCTACAAACCTTATATAGGTTTTTGGTTTTCTTGACTTTCCCTTCATTTCTCTTCCTTTTTCTTCCAACCAAACACAACCTTAATATCACTGCTCCTTAAATCAATGTTTTAAAAATCAATCTGGAGGCTGAACTACTTTTGCATTGGGGTCATGGCTCACCGGTTTGACCATTCAAATCGAACGGGCCAGGCGCGTCCTCGTCGACTCAAGCAGCTCAGCGAACATCCTCTTCAAAGCAGCCTTCGACCAACTGCAGCTCTAAGAGAGCGACCTAAATCCCGCGAACACTCCCCAGGTAGGCTTCAGCAGAGAGGAAGTCAGGCCCTTGGGAAGGATTACAGTACTCGTGGAGGTCGGCACTTGGCCTAGCATAGTGAGGCTCAACCACGATTTCTTAGTGGTCGCAACCCCCCCTCCCCGTATAACGCCATAGTAGGTCGGTCGATTACCCATGCCTTACGGGCTGTGGAGTCTACCTACTACTTGGCCATGAAGTTTCCCACAGACTTCGAAATCGAGATAGCGCGAGGTGACCAGCTTGAGTCCCGCAAGTGCTACGTCGCCGCCCTTAAAGGGAAAGCCAAGGTGGCCGATGACCTCAAGCTGGAGCGACCTACGGAGTAGAGCGAGGAGCGAGCTGTGCTCACAGAAGAGACTGTCTCCATCCCAGCCTCGATGGAGGACCCAGCCCGAACTCTTCAGATCGGTGTTTCCATCGAGGAGCCTCTGCGATCTAAACTGATACGCTTTTTGCTTGAAAATTTAGATGTTTTTGCATGGTCTACGGCAAAAATGTCCGGTATAGACTCTAGCATCATAACTCATAAGCTTAATACTGATCCTATAGTTAGGCCCGTTAGATAGTAGAAACGCAACCTAACCCCAAAGCGATGGAGGGCAGCCGACGAGGAGGTTGGGAAGCTCCTTGCAGCCGATTTTATCAGGGAAATCCATTACCCGAGCTGGGTGGCCAACCCCGTTCTGGTGAAAAAAGCTAATGGTAAATGGCACATGTGCGTCGACTACATCGACCTGAATCGAGCTTGCCCAAAGGACTGCTTCCCACTCCCCGGGATCGACCATCTGGTGGACGCGACCTCAAGGCACGAGTTGTTGAGCTTTCTAGACGCCTATTCGGGTTACAGCCAGATCAGGATGGACCCGACAAATGAAGAAAAGACTGCATTCACAACCGAGCTTGGCCTGTACTGCTACAAGGTCATGCCCTTTGGGCAAAAAAATGCTGGGGCAACCTTTCAAAGACTTATAAATAAACTGTTTGAGCCATTGATTGGTCAAAAAGTAGAATGTTTATGTAGATGACATGGTCGTCAAAATCCAGTTCTCATGTGACTTAATACAAGACTTGAATTTAGTTTTTGAAATCTTGCATAGATTCAATATGAAGCTAAACCCGAATAAGTGGATCTTTGGTGTCACCTCGGGTAAATTTATGGGATACATCGTAAACCGACGCGGCATTGAAGCCAACCCGGACAAAATAAAGGCCATCCTAAATATGAGACCACCCCGAAAAGTGAAGGAGGATCAGAGGCTGAATGGGCGAATAGCCGCCCTGAGCCACTTCATGTCCAAGTCGGCAGATCGCTGCCTACCTTTCTTTAAAGCAATTAAAAGCAAAGGGTTTGAATGAACCCATGATTGTCAGCTCGCGTTTGACGAGCTCAAAAAATACCTCGCTAGCATACTAGTCTTAACCCGGCCTGAAGAGGGCGATGTTTTAGAGTTGTACCTCTCGGCAAGTGACGAAGTGGTCAGCTCGGTACTAATAAAAGAAGTAGATCGGGTCCAATGACCTATCTACTATGTTAGTAAAGTGTTGCAGGGAGCAGAGACAAGTAAAGTGCTTCGTCCGTACTTTCAAGCTCATACTATTATCGCCCTCACCAACAAACCTCTGAGGCAAGTACTACTCAAGCCTGAGGTCTCTGGTCGACTAACAAAGTGGGTCATTGAGCTCAGCAAGTACGACCTCCAATACAAGCCACGAACTGCTATCAAAGCCCAAGCCTTAGCAGACTTCGTCGCGGAGTGCACTTTCAGCTCCGAAGCCCCCAGGCCGGTGAGCACGAGGCCCCCAGTTCGGGCGATCCCGGAGCTCCCAGGCCGGTTGAGTCCGAGAACCGTGAGGTAGCAGCCAGCGCGGCATCTCTCCTAGTTAGGCCAAGCGCGAACTGGGATAAGGAGCCATGGATCCTTCACGTAGATGGCTCCTCGAACTAGTAGAGCAACGGAGCCGGAATAGTTTTGCACGACCCAAGTGGCACGAAACTGGAGTACGCACTATGCTTCGAGTTCGCGGCATCCAACAATGAAGCAGAGTACGAAGCATTGGTAGCCGGACTAGCTCTAGCCAAAGAAATGAAAGGCAAGCACAATATCATCTGCAGCGATTCCCAACTCGTGGTCAATCAGGTTACAGGCGAATACGACGCTCGCGAACCGACTATGATTGCCTACTTAGCTAAAGTAAGAGAGGCTCTGCTCAACTTTCAGTCACACTTCATCAGGCAAGTCCCGAGGTCGGAGAACGCTAAGGCCGACGCCCTGTCCCGGTTAGCCAGCACCACTGATAACACCATGAGAACCGTGTACATAGAGAACTTGCCTCGGCGTAGCATTCTCGGGGGGGGGGCAGAGGAGGTCGCTCCTGTCGTTCAAGCAGAGCCAAACTAGATTGACCCGCTCGCGAGCTTCTTGCTACACGGGACCCTCCCTGCAGATCGTAATGCTGTCAGAAGGGTAGAGCGTCTGGCGGCCAAATACGTCATGATAGACGAACGACTGTACCGAAGATCCTACACGCTCCCCTACCTGTGCTGCTTGCGACATTCTGAAGCCGAGCTCGTACTCCGCGACACTCATGAGGGTCTGTGCAGCAGACACTTGAGGGGCAGGGCCCTTGCCCAAAAAGCACTACGACAGGGATACTACTGGCCAACAATGAAAGAAGACGCTATGGAGTTCGTTAGAAAGTGCGACAAGTGCTAGAATAATGAAAATTTCCACCACCAGCCCGTGACCTTTCGCACAATGGGGCATCGATATACTTGGACTATTTCCACCAGCGATAGGCCAGAGGAAGTTTCTAGTGGTAGCAGTGGATTATTTCACCAAGTGCGTAGAAGTCGAATCTCTTGTAACGATCACAGCCCGAAACGTCCAAAACTTCTTTTGGAAGAATATAGTGTGCCACTTCGGGTTACCTCGGGTATTGATTTCTGATAACGGTAAATAGTTCGAGGACATCAAATTCCATAACTGGTGCCAAGATATGGGGATCCGACAGAACTTCACTTCAGTCGCACGCCCTCAAGCAAACGGTCAAGCAGAAGTCACGAACAGAGCTATCCTCCGCGAACTAAAGGCACGGTTAGACCGAGCTAAAGGACTATGGGCAGACGACCTACCCAGTGTTCAGTGGGCTTACCAAACCACCGAGAAGACCGCAACAGGAGAGACTCCCTTCAACCTCACCTACGGCACCGAGGCAGTCATCCCAGTTGAGATCGAGGTTCCCTCGCTACGACTGGAAGCATATGACGACAAGGCAAATGAAGACGAGATATGTACCAACCTCGACCTACTCGACGAGATAAGGGACCTCGCATATATCAGGACCGCAGCTTACCAGCAAAGAGTAGCTCGGTACTATAACGCCAGGGTCAAGAAGCGAAACCTCCGCGTTGGCGACCTGGTCCTTTGTAAAGTTATGGTACTTGAGCCCAGCGTTGGCAAGATCGGACCAAATTGGGAAGGACCCTACTGAGTGAAACAAGTGCTCGGGGAAGGAACATACGAGCTCGAGACCCTTGAAGGGAAACAAGTACCTCGGACATGGAATATTGTCAACTTAAGGCAGTATTACCTGTAACTATTGAGTAGACCACGAGTCACTCCCAAAGCCTAAGGACCGAAATGCCGAGCTAACACGATCTCGGCGCAATGAGACCCAGTCGCATCCATGGCATGGGCAAACTCCAAGGGCGGACTACAAGTCACCCCCTCACCCTAAGGGCTAGAACACCGAGCTAACCAAGACCTCGGCACGACGAAAGACTTAGTTGCTCTGCCAGCGAAGGCAAAGTATGAAGCATTAGAGGCGCAAGCAGCTCGGGTCTAAACCCTACGAAGCATAGCTCGTCTAATACACCGGTTGTACTAGGTACAACCTACAAACATACAGTTCAGGCATACATGGTAACTACTTCGCGTTATACTATAAAGATGCCTAAAACATTAAGGGATAGCACGGGATAACGATTATCGAAAAATCCTACTTTGGGTATGTAGCTCTAATAGCTCGAGTGATGAGATCGCTTTGGCAAAAAATAAAAGAGCACACCATACTTAGCAGAAAAAGAAATTTCATTACTAATAAATTAAAACCGAGCTACAAAAGCT